ACAAGCTGGAATCAGCCTCCAAGGAACTATGGTGGCATTGGAACCAACGTCCTAGGTAAGTTATCCGTATTTTGTTCCCCTGGTGAATCAATAGGGGCCCACTCACGTACACGATGTTTAACATTGGAGGAGAAAGATGCAACTGAACTATATGTCTTGCTAAATTGCAAGGAGGTTGATGTTTGGGTAATGTAAGTTTTACTTCTTAGGAAAATAAGAACTACATGATATTTAATAGTCTATATGATTTTCATAACGTTTTAATTAATAAATAAATGTTATTTTATAGTAAATTTGAGGAAGAAGTTGGTGCAAATTTGTCACATGAACAACTACAAAGATTGCGAACAAATAATTTTGTTCAATGGTTTAAAAATATGGTAATTAATTGTTATGTATTATTTTCTCAAATTTTTAATTAAATATTAAATATTACTAAATTAATTTTGTTTTTCAAATATTGGTGTTTAGTGGACAATATGAAATCAATGAACAACTTATCCACCTTGCAGTTGGCCCGATCTTTGAAGTGAATGTTTATAATGGGTTCTATGTGAACGGCTTTAAATTTTTTACTGAAGAGTTTACTAGTACTAGAAAGACATATAACTGTGGTGTTTGTGTTAAAGGAACCACCATTAATTCTGTAGATGAAACTGACTATTATGGTGTCTTAAAAGAGGTGATCGAGTTATTGTATTATGGATACTCAGGCCATCAAGAGATTATAATATTGTTTAATTGTGATTGGTATGACACGAACCGAGGAATACGTGTCAATGTTGAACACGGAATTGTTGATGTCAATCCAAGGTTTAAACTTTCAACGGGGGAGCCATTTTGCCTTGCTAATCAAGCACAACAAGTTTATTATACTCAATATCCGGCAGCCACGGATAGAACTACCCGAGGATGGTTGGCAGCATGTAAAATCAAATCTAGACATCTAATTGAGACCTCACCTACCTCATCTTCAGGAGAGGTTGATGATATTTTTGAAGATGATGACCCCTCCATAATGCAAGGCTCTTCATTAGCTATAGATTTAACTGCATACCAATCACTTCAACTATGTGCAGAAGGTGTTACAGAAGTTGAGGTTGATACTATTACATCTAAAGAAGAGGAGGACTATGGAGAAGAAAAAGATTCAGAATCCTCAGGAAATAGTGATAATGTTGCGGATGGTGATGATAGTGATGATAGTGATGATTAATTGAAACATCTATATTATTACTTATTAAATATATGTATTAAAATTTCTTTGTCTTACATATATTGTTTTATCAAGTTATATATTTTTCATTTAAAATAGAATCATTGTATGGTTGTTCTAAATTTGTTACGTATTATTCGTATAAATGTATTAATAACTATTTTGTTATTCATTTTTCAGGATGTCTGGAAATCCTACAGGTTCAGCAAGGAGGAGATCTTCCTCCTCAGGATCACAAGAGCAACACAATTTTCATCACCCACAGCTGTTTACTGATAGTAGCGTAGCTCCGGATATACAGCAAATGATTGATCCATTAATGAATTATAATTTTGCACCTGATCATGAGAACGAGGGCCCTTCATCCTCGACGGGGAAAAAAGGACAGAGCAAGAATTTCAAAGGAATACGCCCTCCATAAAATAGAGAGAGCAGGAAATGGGTTAAACTCACTGATGATAAGCTCCAGTTTGCTGATCCAAACATCCCTCGGGCTATCACTTCACTATGGAAGTCATGTTTTGATGGCCCGTATTTCACATACGAGCGTGTCCCCCAGAGCAAGATTGCTGAAATTTATATTGTTTCAAGGTAAGATTAAGTTTAAGAAAATTTAATAAAATCAATGGATTTAGCAATTTCTAATAAAAATAAATAATTTCATTATTAAACTAGAATTTACATTTGTAATATCCCAAAAATTTGGGGATATTTTAGCATTAAATAAGGGACTTATTTGAGGGAAAATATTATTGAGGGGCTTAATAGTCAAATTTTTTAAAGTTGAGGGACTTAAAAGAAAGGAAATTAGGATAAGGATGAACTGCTTTTTCTGTTTCTTTTTCTTTCTTTTCTTCCTCATCAGCCGCGTGTTTCTGCTTCTGCTTATCTTCTCCCTCCCGACAAGCCCCCCAAGCCACCGACTTTCTTCCCCCTTGAAAAACCCGGTGAGATCTTAATGAATTTCTCTTCCTTTCTTGTTAAATCACAAGATTTGGGGCTTAGAATCTTCTCCCTCAACCCAGAAAATCCCGAATCTGCTCTGCTCTTCTCCCTTGTCCGCCGGCTGTTATGTGGGTTTGAATTTTTGGGCATTTTTTGGGTAAGCCACAGCCAAGAAATCATCTCCTTAGCCTTGATTTAACTTGGGTTACTCTAATTTTTGGTTGTGGTTCTTGAATTTTGGGTAGTTTCCGTGAGTTTCCCCTGCAGATGCCACCGGCTTCTTCTCCCTGCCAAGTCCGATTCT